ATACTTTTCTAGGGCTCTTAGATTGTATTTAGGAAGGAAATTTAGTGTGGAAGATGGTTGTGGAATGGTAAGGGAAAGTTAATAGGTGAGTATGATGGCATTTGGACCAGGATAATTATCGTTCGTCAGTTGTCTAAGCTGAAAATAATAAAAAGAGTTCCGAAATGATGAGGTACATAGGTCGAGTAGGATCCATATCTGGTCACATGTGAAAGCGCGATTTCTTGTGATCACGGGATTTTCGTGATTTCGCTTCCGCGATCGCGAGTGATGTGAGGCATGAGATTTTCTCGCAGTTTGGGATTTTTCTGTAATTCTGCGGTTTTAACTCTATAATCGGGGGAATATCTATTACTAAAATTTTTATTTCTTTTTCCAGGAATTTTCCTGATTTTCATTCTTTTTTTGTTCTTTCTTATTTCTCTATTTTCTTAATTAGGGTAATTTCTATCAGTAGACTATATATGTGTATTATTTTTTGGATAAGTAGCTATTGAGCTTATTTTTGAAAGATTTTGTTCCATATTTTATATTTTTTTGTTGTGTGGTATCCTTTCCTTTGCAAGTGGTGTTTCTGTATTTTGCATAGGAACATGTAATGAAATCTCCTCGCCACCCATATCTCTCCTCATTTGAAATGTTGTTTTCAGCCTGGATAGTCACCGAACGTGTCGGTTTTGCTTCCCAACAACAGATTTCACCTTCTATCTCTCTTTAAACGCCGCCGAACACCTTTATCCTCCCTCTTATACCCTTCCAAAACTACATTCACGGAAAACCCGCCTTCTATACTCCTTCTAGAACCCCTAGGATGGTATTATCAGATATCAACGCTCGATAAACCCTACAATTTTGGTGATTCGTCTTCCTTGTTCCCAAACAAAAAAATCCATACAACATTTGCTCACAAAAAAAATTTCTCTACCATACTATAACCATTCCTACTACAATTCCTAACCCCTAATACTAAATTTTTAAAATCCAACATTACTACTTTCATCGAAATTCCACTTTGACACATACCACCAAAACTTAAGCCCCTGACCAACCTTGAGTTGCAATCCTACATTCGTCGAAAATCTAATCGGGAGAAAAGGTCGTCATGTGGCCAAGGAGAAACTCTCAGCGAGGTGTCCAAGAACTTATTATAGAGAATATGCAATGAAAAAATTCACCAACTGCAAGAGAGGCTTGCTGCTTTTGAGAGGAGACAATCCAATGAGATCACGTATAGCCACAACTATGAATCGTCATGTCAAGAGGAGAAAGTGAATCTCTTCCATTAGAAAGTTTCTAGTGACGAAGAACTAATATCTCAAAGATTGGCATGGAATATCAGAGGAGAATATAGTAGTTTAAAGTGAAGATTGATTTGTCGGATTAACGATTGTATGGATCCGGACTGTATTTTATTAAAAGGTGTGAACGATTTAGATATCTCCGGTCTATTGTTCAAAGCGATGGTGATATATATGGGGATGTTATTAGTCAAATTCGAGTTGGTTGGTTGAAGTGGAGGAATGCTTCAGGCCTACTTCAGGCCTATTGTGTGATAAGATAAAAAAGTACCGTTTAGACTGAAAGGAAAATTTTATAAGATGGTAGTGAGACCTGGAATGCTCTATGACGCATAATGTTGGCCTTTAAAAGAGAAGCATAATAATAAATTAAGTGTTGCCATGTTGAAAATGATTAGGTGGATGAGTGGCTTTACATTTAGAGACAAAATGCAAAATGAATATATCCGGTGATAGCGTGATAGGGTTGGTGTTGCTCCAGTGACGGACAAAATTAGAGAGAGTCGCCTTAGATGGTTTGGTCACATTAAACGTCGACCATCTGATGATCCGATTAGGAGAGTAGATGTTTAAGATTCAACTTATGTTAAGAAAGGCAAAGATAGACGCAAAGGTAGACCTAGGAAGACTTGGGCTTGTTGTATAAAAAATGATCTTAATTTATTAGAATTAAATGAAAGAATTAAATGAAAATATGACTAGACTAAATAGGACACAATGGAGAAAAATGATTTATGTAGCCGACCCCACTTAGTGGGATTAAGACTTTGTTGTTGTTGTTGTATGGATCCGGATGAGTTCATCAAGTGGCTCCAGATAGTGAAACATGTCTTTGAGTATAAGTGTATCTCACCTGATATAAGAGTAAAGCTACTCACATTAAGTTAAAGAAAAGCATCTCTATGTTGGAAAAACTTGAAACTCTTATCTTAGAGGGAAGGGAAGAGCAAGATCACCATTCGATCTAAGATGAAATGAGAGATGCAACATAAGTATGTACCAACATATTACAAACATGATTTCTTTTTTTTTTTTTTTTTGAGATTTCACCACTTACAACAACAAGATCTGTCAATAGAACAATATACTATTGAGTTTGAGCATCTTATGTTGAAGTATGAGTTCGTGGAGCCCAAGGAGAACACGTAGCTCGATATCCTGGGGGACTAACAAGTAGTACAATTGCAACCTTATTGGATACTACAGGATGTTTGAATCATAACTTTGAAGGTGGAGAGACCAGAGCAATATCGGGTTTATACCTCTCTTTAAACAGGGTTCATCCACAAGATCGGGTAATAAGAACACGCCCCGTGGAGAATCGCAACTGATCCCATTAATGGAAAAATAGATTCAGAGTCGAGAAAAAATAGAGCCTTATAACACTCCTAATTCTGTCTCAATCAAGAAGTGCTTCAAGTGCTACTATTCTAGTTACATTACATAAGATTGCTTAAATAAAAAAGTAATATCTTTCATTGAGCAGAGAGCTGTTGAAACAAATGCAATGACATAGAAGAGAATGAAGAAATTAAAGAGGAGTACAGATTGCAACCAATGAGGGAGGAATGCTAGTGATTCTAACTGAGCTTATGAGAGTCCCTAACAGGACTATATTAAATGTACTAGAATGTAATGAGTCCGAGGAGTTGATGCTAGAAAGGGGCAGTCCCTATTGAGGGAATTGTTGGGTGTTTTGACTGATTGTTTATCGCGTGGGTGATTGCCATTGAAAGTGGTCCAATAAGCCATATATTTCATTTCAAAGTTGGTTTCTTCAGATAGACTTGTTTATTGGATGCTCCAAGCTGAGTACGAGAAGTGAGAGAAACATATTACAAATTTAAAGACTCAAGCCTTGTGATTTCGTAAGAATACCCGCCTTTTACAAGGTCTAAAATGAAATCTTGTGCATATTAGGATGCTCACGTATATGCACCGAGTTTTGTATGATTTTGAGTTTTACACGTGCTTCATGACCCACAATTCAACTCAAGTATATCGTCTCAAGGGATGTGCAAGTTCTCTTATATAGTGTGAAATTTCTTAAGTTACATTCAAATCAAAACCCAAAATACCTATATGTGCTCAAACCACTATGCTAAATTTTAAAAAAAAATTGGTCTGAGAATGTTGTCCGAGTTAAATATAAACTTAAGCTAAATCATAATTTGAACTGAAATGCGTGTAAAGCTCTCTAAATTTTGTTGAACTACTAATTTTAAAACACTTGCATGTTTTACGATCAATACACTTGATGCCTAAATGTACTGTTCGAGAATGCTATGAGGGTTCAAAATGGATTTCAATTAAAAATAAACTACCTAAAATAGTATGCAAGTATTTCTAGATTTTGTAAAATCTCTTTTTCAAATGTTAATATGAAAATTATTAAAAGATGCACACTCTCGAGTGGGCCACCTTGCCTTTAAGGCAAGATTGTAAGTACTTTTGTCAATCTGATTCTCGTTATAGAGACTGGAGTTAAAAAGACTAAGTCTCCATTATGTCAGTTTGATCCTCCTCCTCACAAGGATAAGATTCGACATGGTTGATACTTTTAATGATATTTAAATAATAAGTCACTCAATCATAGCTGTGTTGAATAAATATTTCAACTGGAGGTGATTTATTTCAAATGCTTTTAAATCTTATAATCATAAATAAAAAATTTACTAAATTAAAAGTAATGAAATGAAATTAATCACAAAAGGTTTAAAGCAAAACTCATCTATCATTCGCATCCATTTGTTGATGGTGACAAATCTAATATTAACCTAAGCTCACAAAGGCCAATGTCATGAGAAATATACTATCACATTCACACTCAAAATAATATGCTAGTAAGGATGTCACTCCAGTCTTCTGTCTATGTAAGTTGACCAGTAAGCTCCACAAAAAAAAATGTTTGTAATCAGTGTCGTCTGATCAGGTGGCTTGGCCAGCGAGCTTTATTATATTAAGACACGACTGTGGCTCATATGTTCTTCAATGACTTTCTACCCTTTTTAAACTATGAATCATAGGGATTAGCTGATTGGGCAAAAAAAACTATTTGTAAACTAAGATCGATTTTAATTTATCCCCTTAGACAAACATCCACCTTAGGTCTACAAGATTCCCTTCTATGGAGGAATCCATAGTTTCTGACAAAGATCCTTCTATTAGGTTAGGTCAATTGTTTCCTCTAACTAACTAAATCGGTGACCATGTCAACTCGAGTTGATGAAACAAATGTGATCTTGATTGGGTTCAGCATCATCCCCCCACCTTCCACTCTAAGCTCATAAGAATACATTTCTATAATATTAAATTGTTGCTACTATACACTAAGGAAGTTGAGTAGCTTTAATCGAAAGTGCTCTCCCGTAATTTGGAGGGGTAATTAACCATAGGGGCTTACACCTTTGAGAAACCTCAAACCCCATATGAAAAAGTTCTCGCACAGTGAGGGTAAAATCTCTAAGTAGTCTCTTATATAATGTTTTATTTGCATTTTTAAAATTCGACTAGAATGTAAAAACTCTTGTCATTTTGGGAGGAGCTGATGCACGAATTTTCAGAGCGCAATAGTTATCCTTTTAATTATTTTGAGGTATCAATTGTTATGGCATTTTAACTATAAATGTTTTTGAGTGGTCAAGTAGCTATTAATTTTTATGCTTTTTGAAATTTTGTTCCTGTTATTCTTTCTTAGTTTAGGAAGAAAACGGAGAAAGCACCACCTTCCTACAGAATGTTAGCCAGGGCTTGCTCCCTTCACGGCAAAGTTTCCCACTTCGCCCCTATCTCTAGAATGGCTTCCTTTCGAAATTGTAGAGTGGCTTGCAAGGAGTCTACAAGTGTCAAGTGGAGTGATAAATTTCAGCCCGGTATGCTCACTATTTTTCCTTCAATAAACAAATAAACTTTTATTATTTTTTCCAACTTTTTTTGTGTTTAATTTTTCTTAGTTTTTCCTTGTTAGTTTTTTGTCCTGTTTGTTTTTCTTCTCCCTGGTTCCTGTGGTGAGCTGTTGTCATGATGCATGCCTCTATTTTATTTTGAAACCAGGAAAAATTGCATTTTGTGCAACAACTGCCTGTTTTCTGTTTTCCTTCCACTGAATTGGTTTCCTTCTTTCCTCAGGCTTTTTTTTTTGTGTGTGAAAGTTATTCTCTGAAACTGACTATTCAAATTTCAAGAATGCTTTATTTACTTAATCTCTCCCAAAAACTTACTGAATTTCTCTATAGTGCTAGTTTAACGAGCTTTACATGTTTTGTCCATTGCCGGCATTTATTGTTGCAACTTTTAGTAGATCTATTATTTGAATCCTTTTTCAAAATTTTCCAACGGGTGTGAACTCACTAAGTAGTGCATACTTTTTTTTGTTATATTTTTGTAATTTATCATATTTACTTTTATTAATTCTTGTTTCCGGCAGCAGCCCAGGTGATAGAGAACAGCATCTACAACATATTGACCATTCACAGGTGGGAGTCACTGAATCACATGAATTACAGGATGGCACCACTTAGAACTGTTCATGGGAAAATGGCTCTCAAGTTTGTCAACTGTATCATCCAGCAGAAGGCCTGTGATGAAATTACTCAAATCCTCTGTGTCACAGCCCATATTTTACTCCGGGCTCGGATGTATAACCCAGCCAAATCTATTTTAAGGCATCTCTCTCAGCTGGATATCTCATGTTCTTCCCTTTTTCGCTCTCTAATGGTTAGTTATCGTTACTGCAACTCAAACCCATCTGTCTTTGACCTTCTAATAAAGGTTTATATTCAACAAGGCATGCTTAATAATGCTATAAAGACATTTAGGTTGATGGGTTTTCAAGGTTTTGCAGCTTCAGCTTTTTCCTGCAATGCTATAATTTCTGCTATTGCTAGAATAAAGCTAGCAGGATCTGTCTGGGCATTCTTCAAGGCGATCCTTGCCAAAAGGATGTGCTTTAACGTGCACACTTTTAATATTGTGCTTTATTCTCTATGCTCTGCAGGGAAGCTTAGAAAAGCTTGCCATCTTTTGAGAAGGATGGAAGATATTGGCTGTACACCAACTACTGTTTCTTATAACACACTTCTGAATTGGTATTGCAAGAAGGGATGGTATAGAGCTGCTATTAAGCTGATGAATTATATGGACATAAAGGGCATTGAAGCAGATGTTTACACTTATAATGTAATCATCAATAATTTATGCAAGAGAAATAAGAGTGCCAGAGCTTATTTATTGTTAAAATGGATGAAGGAGAGGGAAATATGTCCTACAGAATGTACCTATAATACTCTAATCAATGGTTTCTGCAAAGAAGGGAAGATGCAGGCAGCTATAAGGATTATGAATGACATGATGGATGCAAAGCTTTCTCCAAGCTCTATTACGTACAATACTATAATTGATGGTTATTTTCGAAATGGTATGACTGATGAAGCGAGAAAGGTTTTTGGTGAAATGGAAAGTAGGGGGATGAAACCCAATGAAATCACTTTTGGTATTTTACTAAATGGATACTGCAAGGCTTCAAAGCTGGAATCTGCAATGAATCTTCTCGAAAAGATTAGATCCAGAGGCTTTGTTCCTAACCTTATTATGTATACTACTTTGTTAGATGGATTTTGTAGACTAGGACAAATTTTTAAAGCTCGACATATTCTTCTTAATATGGCTAAAGCAAAGGTCAATCCTGATGTTGTTACATATTCTACTTTTGTTAATGGTTTATGTAAAGTTGGTAATCTATGCAAAATAAAGGAGGTTTTATCCAAGATGTTCAAAAGCAGTGTTATGCCAAATAACATTTTATATGCAACACTAATCTGCAATTTCTGTAAGCTTGGGTATGTCATTGAAGCTCTGAAGTTCTATTCTTACATGCATCGATTTGGTCAAATCATTGACCCGATTACATGTAATACATTGGTTTCTGCACTTTGCAAAAAGGGAAAATACAAAGAAGCTGATTATTTCATGGAACATATGATTAGGATGAATTTAGCTCCTAGTTTAAAAACCTTTAATTGCATTATCAGCAGTTATGCAGATAGAGGTGATTTACTCGGGACATTTTCCATGTATGACAGAATGGTTCAACGAGGTATCCGTCCAAATAATTTCACCTACCAATGTTTGCTCAGAGGAATGTGTAATAATGACAATTTGGATGAAGGGAAAAGGCTTTTGTCAAACCTTAGAGCAATTCCTTTTGCTGTTGATATTACTGTATTTAATACATTACTCCAAGGAATTTGCAGTTCAGGAATATTGGAAGAGGCTTTACAGTTATGTGATGATATGGTAAAAAATAACATAACTCCTGATGTTTACACCTACACCATTCTTATAAATGGCTTTTGTAAAAAGGGTGATATTGTTCCTGCAATTATTTTATTTCAGAAGATGGCTAAGAAGGCATTGTTTCCAAATCATGTTACCTACACTTGTTTAATTCAGGGCTTGATAAAGGAAGGCCAATTGAAGGCTGCTTGTTTCATTTTTGGAGAACTCATGAAGAAAGGTACCCAGTGCCCTGATGCTATTGTTTTCAATGTTTTAATGGATGGGTATTCTAGAATTGGGAGACTAAAAAAGGTGGAGAAGATATTCTCATATATGGAAAAGAAAGGTTTTACTCCAACTCTGGCATCCTACAACATACTCTTACATGGATATATAAAAAAACAGTTGGTTTCAAAAGCATTAAGACTGTACAAAGCAATGCTACACAGAGGCATCATTCCTGATAAACTAACTTATCATTCACTAATTCTTGGGTTTTGCAAGTCTGGTCTGATATTTTTGGGGGTAAAATTTCTAGAAAAAATGGCATTTGAGGGTGTTTTTCCTGATTACTTGACTTTTAGTATGCTAATTATCAAATACAGCGAGGAAAGTAAAATGGATGTTGTTTTCAAACTAGTTAATTGCATGGAAAATTTGAAACTGTCCCCCAACTGTCATGCTTATGATGCCATTATTAGTGGCTTGAATAGAAAAGGTTGGTTTCAACAATCCTATGCCATTTTGCATAAAATGATGGAGGAAGGATTGCGCCCCAAGCACACCCATTTTATTACACTAATCAATGGAAAATGTAGGATTGGTGATATACGGGGTGCATTTCGGCTGAGAGATGAAATGGAGACATTAGGTCTCGTGCCTCGTGAAGTCGCCGCCAGTGCTATCGTTAGGGGTCTTTGTAAGTGTGGAATGCTTGAAGAAGCAATATTCGTTTTTTCGGACTTATTCCGAACAGGTCTTGTGCCCACAACTGCTACATTTACGACTCTAATGCACGCGCTTTGCAAAGAAGCCATGATGGATGATGCATTACATTTGAAGGATGTGATGGAACAGTGTGGCTTGACTCTAGATGTGGTTACATATAATGTTTTGATTACAGGATTGTGCGTCCGTGGTCTTTTCGATGGTGCTTTAAAATTGTACGAGGAGATGAAGCAGAAGGGCCTCTGGCCTAATGTTACTACTTACACTGTACTTATTGATGCTGTTAAAAGGGTAAAGGACCTTATTGAGGGAGAAAAAATTCTAAAAGATATTCAAGATAGGGGCTTGATAGCTGATAAAAAAAGAATAGCTAGTCTTGATGATGAATTGAGAAGTGCCAAGAGAAGGTTGAATATGTTAAGGCATTGCTGGAAGGATGATATAAGATAATAAGCTGGGGAGTTGGCCATGGCTTTTTAGAGAAACAAACTAATGGCATAGTTATTAGAGAAAATAATATAGTTAAGGTTTGTTATACTTGACCAAGTGCTTGTGTTAGACTTTTTTTTTTTTATCTAGATAAAAAAATGTTTTTCACTCGATTTTTTTTGACAGGGAGAGTAACTTTGGCACTTTTATTCAGATACCATCAATTTTATCCCATCTGGTCATTTTTTCTGCTATTATTTATTCTCAACTGGACAAGGAGAAAAGATAGCTCAATACAGGGAGTTAGAGGGGCAAAATTACAAAGTAAGCTTATTTTGCTCTACTTTTTTTAGTATAACATGTGGCATCTAATTTCTCAACTTGTTCTTTTTTAATATTTATTCAGGGATTTTATTTTAGTCTAATTATGCTATTCGGATTTGAATGTTTGGCAGGTAGAAAATGCACTAATAAGATACTAAAAAATGTTGGAAGAAATGGGAGTGCCAAATATAATATACTAGGAGTTGTATGCATAGATGCGAGTCAAATAAATTTAAAACTTGTGCCCACTTTATAAAATCAAATCATGTACGTTGTTTCAAAAAGCTTTTCTTAGTAGATGGGGCAATGTTAGTTATTATAATAACTTCAATTGTCATCATCATCCTTCACTAGCTACAACATGATGGCGGTGCTGTTGATATTAACTTTAGTTTTTGTAGATCCTTTTTTATATCATGTCAAGTTGAATTTGGTCCAACCTTTCTACTTCCTATGCCTCACAATAATTCCATCTTCTCCCATTGGTTCTCTATTTGCTTTTTTCATCCACCTGTCTCCATCTCACATTAATGTGGTTATATTTCAGCCTTATGTGCTCGTGATTTCATCACCATCAACCTTTTTCTTTGCAATTTTGTTCATATAGCTGGAATCAATTGATCCTTTGGAAGCCACATTTGGTGTGTGTGCACCTGCTAATCCTTTAGTTTCAGCTTCTCGTAGATTTTTTTTTAATGAATCCCGTAGAAAATTTTATTAAAAAAAAAAAAAGGTACTTACAGGGGTGTGGCTAATAGTTCTACTAAAACCCCCCACAAACACAACTCACTCAAGAAAAACAACAAAAACCTAAGAACCGTTAGCCACGAGTACAATCACAATTTGTTTGCAAATATTATATTCAACCGGTAACATGACTTTCATTTTGTGTGTCAACATGAATGGAGCTTGTCTGGTTGCGGTAGAAGTTGTCTAAATCGCCCATAAAATGGATGGTAAGACTTCAACCCATAAAATTTATGCATGTAATTAAGGTTAGGTTCTATCCCATCAAGGGTCTGTTTGGGTCAGCTGCAGCTTCTCAGCCTTTCAGCTATAGCTTAGCTGCCCTAGAAAGCTGCTGCTGGGAAGATGCTACGGGAAAACTGGCTGGTTGTTTGTTGTAGCTGTCTGAAAACAACTGTGGGCCAACTGTTTTTTGAGAAATAACCATCCTGCCTCTATGCAGTGATGTTGTTATTTTTTAAGCATTAAAGTAACATTAATTAACAACTATTTAGTTTTATTAATTAAGAAAACTTATATTTTTATGAAATAATTTAGAAACAAAAAATATGTTTATAAACTAATTAATTAATCATTATATAATAATATATAAATTTATGTAATTATGATTAATTTGAAAATATATGAATTAAGCATTAATTATTATCAATTAAATTAATAAAAAAATTATGACGTCTACTATGATTTATATGTCATTCAATAATTAAATAACTTTAAATGGAAATTCATTATATATATTTATTTAATATGCATATTTTAGTGCGAATGACCTGGCTCATAAGTCCCTCGGGTCGGGGGTTCGAATCCCGTGATGCAGGTGCTTTGAATCAGAATTAAGTACACCGGGTTTTCAACCCATTTGGGGAATCGATATTTGGTGCCCACTGGACCAAATATCGATTTTCTTTTTTAATATATATATATATATATGTAT